GGGAACACCACACACTAAACGAATAGTTCCAATGTCGTAAACTAGTGGCACTCATTACATATTGAATCCCGGACAAGTTGACTGTGCGTTCCTTTTTTGTTATTGTTATTGTTGCCGTTGTACACTACATCAATCGTGGTCCGTAGTGCATCTTCATTCAGATGGAACCAAGCATTGCGATTAACTAGTCGTTGGGTTGACATTCATACGGGTCATGGTTGAGTCATCTAAGTTTGTGGAACTATGTGCTATCAGCGATTTGGTAATTACCGGTCGATCTATACTTTGTTGGGGATGTGATACTGTCACTACACCCTGACGACATCGATGACGGACAGAGATGCGAGATTCCCTGTTTCGATTACAATCTGACTGATATCAGCCATATCCATAGATAAAAGGATGAAAATATGTCAACATCAGCCCATGTGAATGAAAACGTCTTACAAAGCTGCTATGACATAGGGATTTCTCTAAATGAGGTGTTCGATCCGCGTTGTATCCTTTTTCAGGACATCGCGAATGGAAGCGAATACACCACGTTGAGACCTGAAAGAACTTGGTGTTTGAAAATTTAGTAGGTTTTGGGTCATATTTGTTCGTTCACATATCTCATACCGGAAACATCGAACAGGCCAAAAACCTGTGTGGTCACTGTGTGAAGTGTATAAGGACTAGGTGGGTGTGTGTGCGTGCATAATCGCAAAGTTGCATATGGGATAGAATTCTGCTTTCCTTGTGTGTTCATCTTGTCGCGAACAAGGAAACCGAGTACATGTTGGGCATCCCCTGTTTGTGATATGATGCACAACTTCATGCTTGCGTTCAACCATTGCGGTAATTTGACCAGGGGTTTCGAGATAACAATGAAACAGGACAACTTCGCCAACCAAGGTGGACAGTTGACAAAGACAATCGAATATCAATGTGGTTTGTAGTGGTGCTCTTGCGTGAGATGTATAACATGGTGCTACTGTCAGTAGTTGTCGTATTAGGAGATCGGTGCCCCGAGGTGAGGCGCAATCCTGGAAGACTGAGATGGAGTAGTTGTGCACCATATGGTTGGACAGTCAAATTATCGGTATCCCGTGGCGTAGAGATGGAAGACAGATGCTGAAGTTTGCGCATCGCACTCGCCAGTACCAACCGAAACCCGGACCACCAGCACAGTGAAGTTGTTCCAGACGTGAAACAACTGAAACCAGGGCCGTGATTGGCTGCATTCGCCGTTCTCCTGCGACCTTGTATTGTCAGGTCTATTTGGAAAATATACTTGTTTCCGTGTTCTATTTGTAATCTCTGGTGCAAATAACACTTGTGATCCTTCTTGTAGTGTGTGAGTTGTTGGGTGAGTAGCTTTTCATCGAAACTGATTTGAACCGGCATCGTGAGTGTTATGATGCAATGGAATAATTCTTAAGTGAGTTCTTTTGTACATACATCTTGTTCACCTACGTTCTGCCTTTTTGCTATGAACTGTGAACAAATACAGACAATGATTTAATGGATTCTGTATGTGTGTAAAATGCCTCGTGAAGCGGCAGATAAGATAGTCGCGAGTTTTATTTATCTTCTCGTATGGTATTGGTAAACTGATTTCGGGCAATGATAGTGAAAGTCAATTTTGTGAGTTAGTCCCCGGAAACGAAAGCCAAGATGAATACAAGTGTACTTCCTGTGAAAATATAAGCCCCTATTGTATGCGGTGTGTGGGCACATTTCTTCAGCCTAATAATAAACGAGTGTCCAATAACGTTTGATCTAACGGTGTCCGGTTTCGATCCACTGCAAGTGATACTGATGATAGCCAATCGTGTACAATACCTTCTGTCCCCTCACCCGAGTGTATCTTTCAATCATTGTAATTAACTTAGCTACCTTTGGAAAATATACTGCTCTCACTCCCCTTGTGGAATTCCCATCTAACATTTGTAGCATTACTCGCATTTGGTTAAAAATAAATTCAATAAAGTGGCCACCATTACATGAAAACAGGTGACGAAAGCGGACATTGTCTTTTTGTACATGTTTCCTGTTCAATGGCAGCATGGCCAAAACTTCGTAATCCGTCTCTATGGTCGGTTAATGTGGTTAACTTTTCTTGGAACAAGTTCATTGTAAAATGATTCTGGAATAACACATTCTTGAGCTCCCCCCTCCCATAATGTCGAACCAGGTGCGTGGTGTGTTGTGTGGTTTGAATGATACAGATGGCTTCCGAGCCTCCGTTCTTCGGTAGGTGGCCGAGTCACTTGAGGTCAACCAAATGTGTCGATTTTCGGAATACTAATCTAAACACTTTGGTACCATCTTCCACATGCTGAATCGTAACAGTTTAAGCTGTGGAGCTAGTTATCAATGTCTCCATGTGAAGGTATCCGCTTGTATACAATGTCCATAATGCGGGATTTCAGCATTGTCATAGACAATCATCTGGCCTTATCACAATCGCGCCTCACTTTAACTTCGTTATTACCAGCGTGTTGATTATTCGGCATTCTTTCCTTTGATTCTCACATGTCCTGATTTTGAACTCTGTGCATGTTTATGCGATGCTCTGGATGGGACAATTCATGCAGCTTATCTTATAAACAAATGTTTCAGTCGAATTAGTTGTATTTCCATGCTTACATTGTATGCCACATCTATTCCCTGTCCCATTCGTATCATAATGTTATACAGTTCAGCTTCTCCCTATGCAATGCCCACATTTTAATTATACTGTTTGTTTTTCAACCACTCTGGTTTTTTTACAATTCCAACCGGTCACGAATGTACCATTGTTTGTATTGTCTATTTTCAGCTCTTGATCTCCTGGACAAACTTCTCTGTTTCGTGCCATCCCGTCGAATCAAAGTCGAGGATGCACTGGCTCATCCGTATCTGGAGCAATACTATGACCCTACAGACGAGGTATGTCGTTATCATCATTCTTTTGTTTCTCTCTGTTTGTCGATATCTGGATGCTTGACACTCAAGCCAATCGTTTGTTTCACACACGGGCTGTTTATCTATAGCCACTTTTCTGGTTCCCGACCTCGATCATGATCAGACTTTCAACGTCATAGTCAAGCTGTACAGGTCCCTGCTTGCCAATCTGTGAACTCGATTGTCTCTTCTCGTGTGCGTCAATACTTTGCTTTGCCGCTCCACGATCTACGCCGCATTGCACGAGTCTGGTGGGGCAGCCGGACGAGCAATGCTGAGGTTAGGCGCAGAGTTTTAGGTAACCGCGGTCGCCCACTGGAGCAATTGGTCGACCTCCATAGATTACGTTGGTTGGGGTATGTCGTACGCATGTCACCAAATAGATTGCCGCAGCGAGTGGTTTTTACTGAGGCAAGTAGTGGTTGGGAAAAAGTCACGGGTGATCAAGCTAAGAGCTGGTACGAGGGTATGAAATCCCTAACCAGGGTACTGGGATGATCGTAACTTATGGTTAGAGACATTGAGTGATATGGCTGGGTATCGTAAACAGTGGCGTTTGTGCATCTTCTCAATCTCTTCGCAATCTTAGCACACTGAAATTCTCCATTTTTTTCCACTCTACTTCCAACCTCCCTATCTTTCTTCAATTCTTCATCCAAATGGGCAACAGCCAAAAGACAGCAACCAAAACCGTCGCACGAAGGTGCATGTTTAATGGTTGTACAAACTGAACTGAACTACAATCTCGAATTGATGCATTCACTCACAGTTCATTTGCATGCTGATTCTAATCTAAACCGTTTGCACGGTTAGGCTTTTTCGCCTCACTATTCCTCGAAAATATTCCGATCTTTTTTGTGATGCATCATCTTGCGCATAACACACGTTCACAGTGCTACTGAATCAAATGAGTGTGACGCGTTCCAAAATGCCCAAATGTTTACTACAGGCCTATCTGATGCGTCATTTTGTATTACTTCGCTGTGTTTATTCCCGAGTTGGTGACTCAAAGTCCCATGTGGTAATCGCAATGTTCTCAAGGTATTCATGTTTCTTTTTTGGTAGTGAATCATCTACATACTTGTTTTAGCGTCATCTCTTTTCCACGGCAACCATATGCCTTTTTGCTCAGGTGCAATAACTGAAGCTCGTGGTAATACAGATCACCAACTGTACTTAAGCCAGACTTTTTTTCACACACCAGTGTGTGATGAAAAGCAGACGGGGCGGATCCCATAGTCACGTAGACCTGCTGTTCAGAGACGGTAACCAGCAAACTAAGCCCCGGGACTTGGACTGGTGAATCACATAAGGCCCCGCTAGGTTAGGCGTGGTATAGAACCCGGCGACAATAACGCTTCCT